TCGGTCAAGGAAACGAGGAAATAAATCAGTGTACGTTGGGTGGTTTGAAAGAAAATTGTCACAAAATTTTAGGAAACCTTCGAAAATAGTTATAAACTACGCCTCTTATCACTCTGTGATTGTAAACAAATCCCCAACTATGGCGAATAGAATTGTTGAATGGTTGGTGTGCCAAAATTCTACCTTTGAAGTTATGCAGAATTGGTTAAAAGCAAAACTTTTGGACGAAGTGGCAAAATTAAAGCCACTGGGTTTCCTGTTTATGCTGTTGATGAATTGACCAAGAAACATGGACACGAGGTGGTTCTATTGCCACCCTACCACTGTCACTTTAATGCCATTGGGAAATTTGGGCGCAAATACAGGGTTACGGGGCAGAGAAAACGCAATAGTTACGTTACCTGAGGCGGAAAAGCTCATGAATGAGACTGTAAAGAGGACAACAGCAGCGGGAATTTGTGGTGGTTGTGATTGGTCATATTAAAAAAGGAATTTCGAAAGCATCGAAAGACGAAGGAATTATGAAACAAAATTTTGAAGAACTTATTATTTCTCTTTAATCTTCGAGTTCCAGCGCTTCCGAACAATCATCAGAGGAAAGAGACTCTGAAATAAGTGGAGTGTTTCCTTTGTAACAGTAATTTGTTTGACAATAAAACTGTGTGAATAGTGTAAATACATATCGGGGTAAATTAATGTGCTTCGTCAGTCTGTTTGACGCCTGCAGTCATCCACTCTAAGTACCACTTGACTTGGCGGTCCTCGCCGCTGCGCCCCCGCCGCTCTCGGCGTGGCAACGCCGCTCCCACCACAGCGATCTCCCAAGTCGGTTCTTATTGTAACGTTTCTCCTGGTGAATTAAAACCAACAGAATATGTAAACAAAAACGTTTATTCGGGAACAATTATACACTAAAATCTACTTGGTCTATTTACAGATATATTACACTTAATTATTTTTCTTTACACACGACTCCGTTCTCTTGATGGTTTATTTACACAGTTCACTTCTTACACGCTATTTATTTATACTGTTCTCTTCTTCTACAGTATCAGCCAGTCCGATGCTCTGTCCACGGTCCACTGCACTTGACCCAATTCCCTGCACAGACCACAATTCCCCTGCGCAGACCACAATTCCTTGCGCAGACCACACTTCACTGCGCACACCAGGGTCCACTGCACTGCTGTTTACCGCGATGCCCACTTCACAGCTCAGCTTCCACTGCAGACTTCACACTGCTGACTGCTGTTTCCCCACTGCACCACTGCTTACCGCGATGCACCCTTCACAGCTCAGCTTCCACTGCAGACTTCAGACTGCTGACTGCTGTTCAACCGCTGCACCACTCTTCACCGCAATGCACATTTCACAGCACAGCTCCCACTTCGGACACACTGACGGACTGACTGCTTCTCTGCTACTCACTGACGTCTTACAACCCACTGACTTCTTCTACTAACTTCTTCTACTAACTGACTCGCGGCCGCCGGCAGCGGCGCATTTATACCTGCCCGGCGCTTGTCTCCAGGCACCCGGCACATTCTCGGCGTTTCCCGCGGCTCGCGCATAGTCCGGAACCGTCTAGTTCGGGGGGGAGGGAAGGGGCGCCGGCAGATGACGCAATCCACGCGCAGCGAATTCGGCAGGTGACGCAATATTCGTAACATTATTTTAATCCGACCAGAGATCCAACGTCTCTGCACGCTTCGTCTTCGAGTGGGAGGACGTAGCGCGCACACGCTGCCGCCACTCGGTCCGTTCTGAAGGAGACATTCGCCAACGTCCGAGTTGCGCTCGCACGCTACCGGCGTTGTATGGACGGGCTGGTGCCGATCGCACGGCAGACTGAATAAATGCAAAACTCTTTTTTTTTTAATCCTTGTGCGTTGACACGACTCGCACACCCAAAACTGAACAAACTGAATTGCATCCTAAAAACATAGTGTCAACTGTGAAACACGGAGGTGGACACGTACTAGTTTGGGACTACATATCAGTTGCTGGCGTGGGTGTTTATTAAAGACACATTGGACAAACATCAGTATCTCGACATACTTAAAAAGAATTCACAAAAATCTGCTGACACACTAGGCATCAGGAACTTGTTTAAACTTTATCAAGGCAACGACCCGCAACACAAATAATATTTAGTGTGCGAATGCTTGTTTTGCAATTATCTAATAGTACTGGAAACGCCGCCTCAGCCTCATAACGTCAATCCAATCGAGAATTTATGTTATTAGAATCAGTCAGGAGAATCCCAATTAAGTCAATGTCTCATCTGCAGCGAGAATACAGAAAGATTTGGCACAAATTGGACAACATTAGCTGAAGAGTTTGCATTTGGCATTGGTTCAATGCCAAAGCGATTGCAGCAAGATATTGACTACAATGGTAATGTTACAAAGTAATAATTTTATTTTCGTTTATTTATTTATTAATTTATATTATCTTTCATTTCACGTCTTCGAATATTATTGTGGCTAATGAATCCAGACAATTTTATTTTGTTTTCTTTTTTATCGAATGCGTCAACTACATTGTGCATTTTTGTTTAGTTTATACTGTTATACGTTAATAAAGGAACAATTGAGGCACTGAGAGCAAGAGTAGATTAACCCACATTTGTTGCAGTTTTAAGTTAACTGCATGAAATGATGCCTAAGTGAAGTATAAATACCCAACAAATCCAAATATTTACATTCTGTATGGTAAACGGAGACGAGGGACCAATTACTACTTTTAACGCTGCGCCTTTTCTAAGTTTTCACGGAGCAAGAGTGGACTATGATTCATTAGTTCACTTCTGCACTGACAGCAGTTCCCTGAATGCCCGTTCCCTTCAGCCAATGTTCGCAGTCTGTCCAGCGCGATGCGGCGATGTTGCATTGTTGCTACAACTTGCTATCGCAGCATGCGCGTCACGACACATTAATTCACATCGTGGGATCGCGTAGTGCACATGCGTAAAGATGTGGGCAAAGATGACTTTTTTCAACAAAAATGCTTCTAAAGGAATATTACTAACCGCAAACTATCGGTTGATCAAACCAAAGTAGAGTGGTTCATGATCCAGTGGCTACGATTTGTGGAAAATCAGCCTTTTGATATCCTTTTTATACTCCAATAAAACAGGTGAAGTATTTCATAAAATTGATGAGTCCAAGAGGACATCAACTCTTATAAGTGAGTTAGAACTGCTGTATCCAGGAGGTAACACAATGAATGAACTGAAGAAGAAAGATTTATCGAATCTACTGGACCTCATTCTACCAGTTCACCATCAATTTTATAAGCACTTGCGAACAGCTGTTGAAAAGCCTGCAAATATGTTGCCCGAATCGTATCTTGATAGTGAAGATTATGATGTGCAATAAAAGTTAATGAAAATCTTTCTGCTTGTTGTAATTTCATTATTTCATGACATCGTTTCTGAAAACTGTTAAACGATTTAAAAAAAAACTATAGATCCTATTCCTCTAAAATAGTATGTAACGAACAATAATGATTTGTATTCTCACAATTTTGTAGCTATTTCAATGAGTGCGCTGTATTTCATCCTCATGCTTATTCATTTGCTTCATTTATATTACATTCCTTTATTTTCCAATTTCAATGTTTTCATACTCCGATTGCAAATTACACTATCTGAAGTAAGTTTGAATCCAAAGGTAACTGGAAATACTTTTGTGAAAGAGGTTGTACATCTAATGCAACAGTGACTATCTGCTGCAAATCACGTTATGTGTAGTGCAAAAGTGGAGGAACCCACATAAAAATCTGGAATTTTAAAAATGTCATTTGGTTGAATTATCCCTTAAGAGACCTGAAATACTGTTAGGAGCTCAAATTTATAGCATACAATGAACAGGCAAAGAACATCATGTTTGCTAAATCCAGTATCTTTCTACTTCATCTCTGTTTGAGGAACTCTCGCTCTCAGTACCTCAATCCTTTTTCACTTTCTTGCATATATTTTTTTCTACAACCGTCCAAATATCGCAGAATTTACGATTTCCGGAGTATATCTGGGAGTCCGAATATTAAAGTGAGCCACTGTATGTACTGTGAACTGCAACATGCTGAGCTAATGGTAATAACAAAATTGTAAGTGTACGCTTCCAACATGAACAATCATTTCGTGTTGCATATGATTGCATCATACACAGCAACAACGCAGTTCAATTGTGCAGCATAATATCCGCTTCCGCGACATTGAAACTTGCATACTTGCCAATCATGAATTGTGACATTTCTAATCTCGTGTTCTGCAAGATGTGAATCGCTGCAACTCATTGCATTGGTTATAATCAAATACTCATGTTGAAACAGTTGTGCCTGCCAATGTAATTCTACTCTAAATAGTGCAGCATATTAGTCTAACTACTGTGGCGTCATATCACTCGCCTTGTACAAACGTGACAAAACATTAGCCATGCGAAATGCACGAGGAAGTAGTTTGCGACAGCGGGCAGCGCTGGCGGGAAGGGACGCCAGCTGCACAATAGCAAACCTAGGGAGCGGAAGGGAAGGGGTGCCGTGTCGTGGGTGGCCCCTTTACCACTTGCGGCAAACTTGGGAACCCCGTAGACATGCTGGCTGTGGAAACGCGTCGGCGGAAACAGCGAGATGACGCAGTTCCGTCAGCCGGCCCAGAAGGTAATATAAACGGACCCCGGACCTTAACTCCTTCTTCTGATTCTTGGGCGCGTTGGTAGGAAGTCGTGTGGGTTGTGCGCGGCGCTGCATTTCAATGCATACACTACCGAGGCATTGAACTGAAGCCGGCGTGCTACGTCGAGACGGAAAGTGCGGCATACTCGCTTGTATGCTCACGTAGGGCAACTGGTGCATCACATCGAATCAAATTATCAGGCCAGCGGTGGTGGTGACCAGGAACATTCCTTCTGATAACGGGTCAATATTGTTTATTGTAATTATTGTAAATAATATTCAGGTGTTGGAGCATATTTCAAATAAATACTCAATAAATTACAAACCGTTCACGTCAGTGATTTATTGCCCCGGCAAAGACACCACACTACTACAACCGTCATGTGTTATGTGCGACAGTTATGGTCATATGTTAATATAATCGCTCCCAGCGATAGCCTGTACGCCGTGACCTCGCACCTCTGATATGCAGGTGGATAACGTCACGCAGTCACCTGCCAAGCACCCACACAGTGGATGTCACCAGGAATTCCTCTGACTACAGTGGGCCTTGTGTTTAATTTCAGCACTCTTGTAAGACGTGTTGTTTTCAACTTCATCCAGCTTTATGCTAAATGGTAATTGCAATCACTTCAATCAGTCTTTAACTGCATATTCCTTCAGCTATTATAATTATTTAAACATTTTCAAGAAAAAATGCAGTGGCATAGTTGCAACTAGATGTATTATTTTAGTTTAATATTAATTATATGTATTTCTTTTCACTCAGATGTCTACTGAATTCTCCCAGAGTAATAGTGACATCTTCTGTTGATATTAACATTTACAGGCAATGCATCCACGTTACATTTTTTTAATGTGGTGGTCCTCTTAATTTACAATGCTATCAAAGGTAAGTGGGAGAGGTTGAAATTAATTCAGCACTCTGTGTCATCTGTGCATGGTCTCTCAGTCCACTCCCACCACTAGTAATACATTAAATATCTTCAAACAAGAAGAATGTGAATTACTTCAATTTGAGCTTTAAGGGGCACATATAATTACACATCTTGAAAACACGATAAAATAAGTTGTTAGTACTTAAAATTAATCAATATTTTAATAGGAAAACAGTTTCCTCAATTTGAGCCAAATTTTGAGCAGTAATTATTATTGAAAACAATAACAACAGTACACAGAAATATTGTTTTGTAAAATGCATGAAATAATTAAAACATATACTACTAATGTTATATATTCAATAAGTGAAAAACAGTTCCTAAAAAATTTCATACATGGACAATAATAAAAATCGATAATATGCAGGGAGCACAAGTAGTTGATGTTTTGAATAATAGGGATGGGGAGCAATTAATAAGAGACAAACATTATTCGTGAAAATCACATTTATAAGATCTGAATAACTTACAATCTAATGCAGAGGTATGTATATTATAAGAACAGGTTTCATTGAAAGTACCTGCTTTCAAACTCCTGAGCAATGAGTTGAGAAATATTGTACAGAAACATGGTGAACCGTAATCTAGACTCTCATTATATCAAAAGATCAACTATCATAATACAACAAAATTTACAGTGCTCTGATATTGACACAAATAAATTTGCTTGATAAAAGAAAAACAACAACAACAAAAAAAACCTAAAGTATTAATACTGTTCTTTCACAATAGCACACATTTTCTTTGATGTCTTAAATAAATTAGCCATACATTTCTCAGACACTAGATGAATAATTCAGGTGACACATTCTTGATTATATATCTATTCTATCAGCTGCCAGAAAAGTTTGATCACATAAAACAGATTACTTATTAATCATATTTATTTGTTGGCAAGATTCCATATTAGAAGTGGATTTGAGCAATTGTTTTCAGTTCCTTATGCTGACATATACCAACATTACATTCTGCAGTTTCTTTCAGAGTTATAAACAACAAAATTTCAATAGAAGAAATTAAAAGAAATACACTACTATATTTCATAAAATACATATGCACAACATTAACCAATAATGTCATTATTGTAATTACAAAACAATAAAAACATTTAAAACTAATACATAACACAAGTGTTTTAAAAAGAATGCCCTTTTGTGAGATTATACAATTCTGAACTGTTTTAGTGCCAAGGGTAAAAACAGAGATGCACAGCAGGTGGGGGGTGAGGCTGGAGCGATTTGCATAAAACCCTAACTTAATTGAGGCCCTGAATTTTCTTTTTCATTTGAAAGAGATAAAAAATGAATTTACTTTCAATCTAAATTACATGCTATAAGTAATATCCATTGCATGGAGAGATGAAATCTATCCATGTAATGGAGAAGGAGGGGGAGAGGAAATACTTTTGTTCAAAATAAGGGTTCCCTGTAGACCTACTGCCCCAAGGCCCCCTTGTTCTCTCTAAGCATCCCTTGGTAAGAATAACTTATCAATTAATTGACAACTGTTCTCACAGTAACCCACAAATTTGTTCAATTAGAGTTAGAATACATTTTTAATATTCTTGAATCAGAATTCAAGGAATTCTTTATATCTCCAAAATTTTTAATTTTTTCCAAGTCGGTGATGTTTATTATGGTGGTGGTAAAAATAACAAAACGTTTAAGCAATGCTGTACATGGAAACCTGAAAATATAGTGGAAAAAACATAAGAGATTTTAATGAGTTCATGGCTTTCTTTGCAATTAAATGAGACAATTCACAATAGGTAGGGGGTGAGAAGTTTCATTGAACTATAAAATGTATGCCTTTGATTTGTATGACCAAAATCTTCTATAATTGACACAGCTACAAATAGCACCTTACGTGCTAAAAATTATTAAATGCTTATTTAAAAACTGAAAATTGACCAAATACCACCAAAAATTTCGATAATAATCTTACTCAGCATTCAGTAGGAACATATACTAATATTTTATGTTCTTTAGATTTTGGAGGTTTAAATTCTCCATCAGAACAAAGGGGTTCCTTGGCGAATCATTAGTTTCTAAAATTTTGCCCTCCATTCTTTTACCTCAATATTACTCTGTTTTTTTTCAATTAATCATGAAAAATATTACACTGACACATAATTGCTTTTAACTGCTGTTCAACCAAGTGTAAAACAATTCTTAATATGTAAAGCAAGCACACATTTTCTACATTCACAGCATGATTCATGCCTCTTCCCTCCCTAAAATTTGTCTCTAAAGTCATAACACATGTTACATGTTCTGTTTGCCAGCAGTATCTTCCTTGGAAGGTGGCCCAATACTGTCCTGCAGTCTTAAACTGAAACTAGGACATCATATGGGACTACATATGTGGAGTCAACTGGGACATCATATGCTGAAGTAATAACTACAAAACAACCATAATCAAATATTGTCAAAGTGAACATTAAGAATAAAAAATTGGTTCATGCTCATATTTAATATTATATAAATTTTTTAAAATTTTGTTCCATTGTGAAAACTGAAAAATAAATCAAAGTTAAAGCAACTTTAATGTTTGAGGCCAGTATCTTTTAGCCCTTGTCAGATGTATCCCCAAGGGCCATCACATAAGAAAAGTTCTCTTATAAATGGTGTGAATGTAATATTTACATATGATTAGCACTACACATTTTATGTAATGCATGAATTGACTAACAGTGCCGAAGTACATTACATTTATTGCTAAGTGCAGCAAGCAGCACTAAGAATATATACATCAATATCAAAGATCATATACAACCTACAAAATAAATATAGAGCATGAAAAAATGCAACATTAACATTGAAAAGATCTGAGGATGTAGTTGTATACTTCAAAGATTTACTAAAAATTTCTGTTATTGTTTCAACAAACAGAAGGAACTACTTAAACATTCCCATATTCAATGCTGGACTGAGATGAACTGCTTGACAAATGATATTGTTCAGGGACAGCTGACAATGAGCCAGGAGGCATCACTCCATGATATCGCACAGGTAATGGTGAGAAGAACTCTTCACCTTCATCAGCAGAAGATGGAGAAGGTGGAGAAAGAGCAGCTGACTCTTCTTGCTCTTGCAACAGCTGTCGAAGTTCATGAATGGATTCATTTAAAGACCACAGTTGGGATAATAAGGACAGATCTAATTCACGTAATCCAAGCTGCAAGAAGAAAGACAAGATGATGTCAATTGAAAAAATAGAAAAATAGCATTCCAATATAATTAACACATAAAGAGAACCTCTCTCTTTAGACGACCCTTTTATAAAATTAAAAAACAAGAGTGTAAAACACAAGAGCAAGTACAGAGATCTATGAAAAGGACACTCAATCGGATGTGGCTTCACAGGAGCACATGGAGATTTTTATTAGAGGAACAACATTCCCATTTTGAATCCAAACAATCATTTACTCCGTTTTGATGTTAGTTTGAATCAAAGTCCTAAAGGAATTTCCAATGATTTCAGATATTTCAAGGAAAACTTGCAGCAGTCCAAATTGTTCTGCATCCCTCAATTTTCCTGACTTAGCTTCACTGGACTATTATTTGCTCACCAATATCAAGAAATGACAGGTAGAAAGGAAATTTTATTCAAATAAGGAGGCAATTGCTAAAAGGAATGTATGGTTAGTGCTAGACCAATTCTATTATTTGGAAGGGATCAATATTGATTCATTGATTGGTTGGTGATTGTGGGCGCGTCGAGGTCATTAGTGCCGTAAGTGTACTGTATTTTTATCGCGGGAGGTGGCGGTTATCTTCCTCCGAATGGCGAGATCCGGCGTCGACCTACGTCGGCTTCCAAGGTTTTCCTCAACCAGGTATCTCCCACCAGCCTCCGCCTCAGCCAGGAGAAACTCTAAGCTCCCGACTGGTCTCCCGGCATGTGTGTAAGAAAGGAGGGTGAGGTAATGACATGAAAGAGGAAGGAAAGTTCGCTCGCGATCCGTGGCCCGTTTGTTAGAGACTTCGCAGGCATTCGCCTGTTGATCGGAGAAACAGCGGAAAACTATTAATTAGAGCAGCTGGCCTCTAGACTTCTCCTCCAGACAGCGACTGAATTCGACCTAGCTATCTAGCTAGTATCGAAAACCCTGCCACCGTCGGGATTCAAACCCTAGGACCTCCCGATCAGAGGTACTGCAGTGACATCAATTGAAATAAACATCTAAGTCGGTGCCGTCAATCAATGGCAGATCGCGCGCCGAGTTGGCATCAAGACAATGTTATTCCGCTGCCACGTCCGCCCGCAGCGATCTGCCAGAGGGCGCCCCAAGGCGCCCGCGTCAACGCACTGAGCCGCTGAGCGCCCGGAGGGCCGCCACCGTCACCGCTCCGCAAACCAGTGGGCCAGCTAGTGACACGACGGGCCGAAGACACGAGGGCTGGGCGCCGTCACCCTCCCAAGAACGGTGATTGGCGGAGGGGCCTACGTCCGCCGAAACGCACTATCGATTCAACGTCATTATTAAGTAGCGCAAGCATTCATCTGGAATCTTTCACCACTAATTATCAATTAATTACCCCATCTCTCAATTTTAGATTTATTAAACCCATATTAAATTTTTCTCACGACTTTCTGTGTTTCCTGCATGATACACCCTTCTCGCTCAAGCTTTTCATATTTACATCAGTCGGACAAACTGCAGAAACCGGGAAGGTACTACGTCAGGTGGTTTGGATCACCCACGTAACCAATCTGTGACCGAATGGTCACTCATAGTTGCGCCCTTTAAGCGTGGTGCCACTTCGTGTGACCAATACGCGGGTTCTTACACTACAACACAAATGATGTGTCGTTTCAACAAATTTTGAAAATTCATGATTGGAGTGGTCAGGGTTTAATAAAATGTACAACTCAACTGCTTTATCCAAGACTTTCTTCAAAGAAGATGAAATCTTTTTAGTCACTGTTGCATACCTTTGAATAATACAGTGACTGCTTGTACAATAATTCTTTGAAACACCTAATTTTGCTGCACCATTCCACAGTCCTATCATTAGTTTTGCTCTGTGCAAATTGAAATGCCCAACTTCCAGTTTGAAATTTCATGAAGTAATCTAAATACCATTTCCTGTGATATGAAAATATAAACTTTTGCAATAAGGCACATCTTTATGAATTTCTTTATTGAAATGCTTATATGAACAAATCATACTACAATGAACACTTTGATATACCAGCAATATCTATTAACTCATTGATACCTCTCAGGGATTACATTTTTTCACCATATTTATCATTGACTTTGTAAGATATGATTTTTTCAAAGCAATTTACTGATAGTATGCAGAGCATCAACAAATCATGTGTTTTGAAATAAGTTGCTTGTACTGCTTTAAGATAAGCCGTGTTTGCTTTCTTTGATCAATAGCAATAAAATTTATCTCTCTATCGAGTGACCTCATTAAGACCCCCATGATTTTGAAAATCTGTTCTAAAGAACAATTAATTTATTAATGTAAAATACAAAATGTAATTATACATTCTCAACTGAAACAAATAATTTGTAGCCAGTCTGGTGGCCTAGATCGTTAAGGCAGTAGTGACGTAGCGATCTCAGACCGAAGGATCGCAGGTTCAAGTCCCACTTCCGGCATGGTTGTATTTGTGTTCATCCTTTCACCCCCTATCAACACCACATTGTGTCATCTTCACAGTTACTATACTGTTTGATGCAATAGTGATTGCGAATGACCTAGATGTTAATGCAACCTTCAATTTAAAAGAAGAAGAAAAAAAAGTATTTAAATAATTAGGTAAAACAACCAGGAATAAGAATCCATTAAGTCATCTTGACTTTGTATAATGATGTAAACACCTGTGAACAGCAACGATTCATATATTTTTTGGTATAATATTTCCATTCAATTAATAAAGTGAAGAAACAATAAAGTGAATTTGCAATGCCTTGATCCAGAAGCTATCCTACTACCTCAGCCATATTTTTATATTTATAATATTTTCAATATTTATCTTTGATCTATGCTATTTACAATTGTTGTATAAATGGTAGTATAAATCTTTTAAGTACACTTGAAAATGGGTGATTAATAGCACCCAAAACGTAGAGTATGTTATCGTATTAGAAAAAACACCTTCAGCCACGAAACTTCATGTATGTTTTTAACTCCTCAAGACCTGGATAGTAAAAAAAACTTCTCAAATCACAAAAGATTACTTCCAAATTTACTCACCATTTCCTTTCTAAGAATTGCAAGTTGGGCATCCAGTCCCATGTTCTTTCTTATTCTAGGATACACATGTGGAGGCATGTCTACAGATGGTGTTATATTCCTCATTACATGAGGAGGTGGCATAGAGGATATGTTTGCTGAGCTACTGCGTGCTGATGTGCGGAATGTTAAACCATGAGCATTTCTTGTACTGCCAGCAGATGAAATAGGGCCAGAAGGAACAACAAATTCAGATGAATGATCTACAATACTAACACCACTGAGGCTTTTGGGAAGTGGTGGCAATCCTTGAAGAGAGGCCATAGATTTCAATTCAGTTCCTGAAACACACATACAAAGAAACAACACTTACGACCAGTCTCTTAATTTTCTGAGAATATAACTAATATAATTCTATCAAAACTATGTAAGGTGACTAACACACTGAATATTGGCATTAAAAAATACCTAGACTCTTCATCATTTAAATTATAATTTTTTTATTCCTAATCTCTTATCACTAAAAACTGGTGTTCTCTGCTTTTACAATTCTTTAGGAGAACAATTTCCAGGTAATAAAATTAATAAAGGATCTATTTTTTTATCTGTGAAGTCCCTTGTTCTTTGAGCATCTATAATTGCACCTCATTTAGAAAAAAAATTGCTTAGCTTAGGTGATTTTTATCATGTGGACTTTTCTCCAATAAGTAATTTGTACAAATAATTTATAATTCAGCCTTCTTTTTCTTATTGGTATGGACTTTGAAAACTTGTTTCTGAAGTTCAGTTTTAATAAGGGCATATTTCAGTAAACTGGGGTATTTAGAAGAGGAAACAAACTTTTTGAAACAATTAAAAACATAAAACCTTATAAGATACATCCTCTGGTCTGTAAGGTTAGTGAAAAAGCGTATGGACAGGTTGAAGTGTGACACCTACAGGTAAATTAAGTGAACAGAAAAACAGACAAGTGATGAGGGGGAGGACAGCTGTCAACAAACCCACAGTGTGCTAACCTAAAAGGAATTCACACCCAAAAATCAAACATTCCATTCATAAACAAATGGTCAATACTCTAAAATCCCTAAATGATTCACTTTTATTATACAGTGCAATCAATACAACATATAAAAGACGGATCTCTACAAAATTGCCAGACCTCATTGACACATAGTGTAAATCATGTCAGTAGAATGTTCACAAGTAAAGCAACACTCACTCTAAATAAGCAACACAATCATTAAAGTTTTAGACCTTTACGAAGGGCAAACTGGAAAAAATCTTACCTTTAAAGAAGCAATATATTTCATCCAAAACGCATAATAAATTTCATATTACTTCTCTGTTAAATGCTACAAGATGTTTATTAAGTTATTTCTTCCGAAGACTTAACAATACATAACGACACTGTTGAACACTTTTTCAATTCATCCACTTACATATCACAAACTCGTCTCATGACAAATTATTACACTAAATTAAATTGGTCTAATTTGAAACCGCATAGGCCGTGTCCGCCCAAGTTTCTGATCTGCCTGTCGACCTACATGAATTGGCTTGGCTGTCAGTTGACGGCCTGCTATGCAGCTGCTGCTATGTCACAGTAGTGGAAGTGTCTGAAGGTTAACGATTCCGCCGCGAACTAAGAATATTTCACAAGTCTTCTGCGGTTAGCTACTACACGTATAACTAAATACTCTGAACAACACTGGAGAATTTCGGAGTACGTATTCTAGAGCGGCAATTACATGGTTCACTCCTCGGAGCAGTGGTCCATGGTTCACTCTGATTGACTCATTTTTGGCTCATTGCCATGGATGATTGGAACGATCAGGTTGACGGTGTCGGTCACGACTTCCGGAAAATATATTGTTGAGATACACTCTTTGGTTAAAACTACAACTGGTAGTTATCTCATGACAATTCTATTTCTTCCCTTATACATAATATAGTGAAATCTTATAAAAATTCGAACGCGAAATTCCGAGTGAAATAAATATTCGATCATAGAACAACACATCTCTTCACCCGTGATTCAATATTGAAGAGGGTTCCTGCGAGTTCTTGGTTCTAACAGTTCTGAGGGGAAAGTCGCGTCACAAAATTTGAAGTGGGAGCAACACACATGTGGAGTAAGGCCAAGTCTAGATCGAGTGTTCATGTGCTCATCCATGCTCATCCCTAGCTTATGAGTTTAGCCTGGTTTAGCCACAGTGGCGGATGGAGGGTGAGGGGGGGGTTTGCCCCCCCCCCCCCCAAGTCCAGAGTTTTCGCTTGTTACCTTACTTTATTTGGCAAATTTGATTTAAATATTTACGTTATTATGAAATTATTTAAAAATAGTATCGTATATACACTAGAAAAATAACATACAATATAATTACAAATGTTTATTATTTGACAAAAATTTATGATAGCCCCACCAAAATAATCTGCTGGATCCGTCCCTGACCACAAACGACTACCATATGAACTCGTATTTGATAAGGAGTGCCTCCGAAAGGAAAAGATAACTACAACACCAATAGAGTTTGGAACACTTTTTTCGCCATTTATTTGTAACATTTTAAACAAACAGCCTATCTATCTAAAATGCAATCCACACTATTTTGATTAAAAAATGGATATTTTCTGATAACCCGGGAAATGTCAGGGTGTTTAAGTAGAAGTCATGGGAAATTTTGAGATAATTGAAGAGAGATGGTAAGGCTTGAATTCGCAATATTTGATTTTCATTATATTCTTTCTGACGCTCAAAGTGTGACCTCTAGGATTCTTAATTATGGGCACAAGGATCAGGATTAGGACGTGTCATGTGTCATGTCCTACATCCTGCGAGATTGGCGCAGTAGATTGTGTCACCCACTCTATTGTCATGTGGGCAATTTTTACTTTCTCTCTACCGCTACCGCGGTACTGAGAAAATTGTGTAATGCTGCGCGAAAAAACGGCGAATTTTCCGCAGAAAATTCTTATTACAGGGACCTGGTAACGAAAATGCCGATAAATCCACTTGCTAAATTTAGAGAAAGAAATTCTCCAACACGTGTTGTAGCCAGAATCCTTGTTTTGTGGGTCCTTGATACCGAAAAATCGAATGACGACAAAACGTCCGTCCGTTCGTCTGTTCGTCCGTTCGCCCGTTCGTCCATCCGTCCGTTCGTCCATGCGTCCGTTCGTCCATGCGTCCGTTCGTCCATCTGTCTGTGAACAACACTAGCGACTGAACCGTTCAGCCGATTTTCTTCAAAATCGATATTCCTCATTGATCTGGCTGATGTCATGGCCTCTTCAATTTGAAACCGATATTTTAATTTTGGAGGGTACTTTACAAGAAGCCCCTGAGACATTATCAAAATTTAAAAAAAAGAAAGACTCCTACGTCTTTGATTAAACTTTGTTATTTGATAGTGTGAAGGGCGTTTAAGAGAATTGCGCAGGTCACATGTCCGTTGAAAACCTTGATTTTTCGAAACTAGAAAATTTACAATTATGAAAATACCAACATTTACAATTATGAAGATAAACATTTTTTTGTTAATGAATTGTGTTCATGAAAAACTTCTAAAAATATTGTCATGTTCAATTTTCCAAAAACATGAGTGTTTTTTTGCGAAATTATGTGTCATAGGCAATTTTCATTTTCTTTAAACAATTTTTTTCTTAAAAATGGCACAAAATATTTTGATTAAATTTACACCTTACATTCCGTACAGGACGCTTAAAAGAATGGAGCAGGTCGTATGTTCGTTGAAATGCATAATTTTTCGAAATTTTAAAAACAATTTCGGCCTCTTCCTGCAAATGCAATTGTGAAAACACTTTTTTCTGAATGAAATGTAATTTTGCGACAAACCTAATCGCCCGCTCCGAATGTACTGCCTTCGTTAACGTATTTCCAGAGAGTTCGATGTTTCGTTAGAATTTGTAAATCATTAAATACTTTTGTGTATATTTGTATATTATTAGAACCTTTTGTTATACATTTGCACAATAATCTTTTAGAAATTATTTAAAACCTATTTGCAATATATGAAATAAAATTGCTAGCCTTCAAGAAATATCAAATTGGAATGCAAAAACAACATTCCGCACCGCGAATCGGCAGCAGAATTTCTGAGAACTACGCCTCATTGTTCAGACAAGATGTAACTGTATGAAAAGCAGTTATAATTGTCAAATTTGAGTTGATATTTGCTTGAAAATATTTAGTTTTTCACCAAATGTACGATATGTAACGAATTCTACATAAACTAATGACTAAGATGTGTTAACTCGAAGAGATATCGTGGTATAAATAGTATTACATTACTATTACTAAATGCGAGAAAGTTCTTTTGTTTTAACACCACTAGTTTTGACACTCATTAATACTAAAGTAATGGAGGAGCAGTGGTCTGTGATTAACACGTAGAAATTTGTTTCACAAACGTTGGCCACTTGTTCTGGAGCCGTTTGACTCCATATTATTCTTGTCAATTCGCCAAATAGAAATAGAGATGTTCAGAATGACGTCAGAACTTTTGACAGGAAAGTATTGGGTGGCATGTTCTCGTATGCGCATCGGTCTTTCCTGCAGCATTAGTAAGTTTTGGGGTTGCACTGCGTGGTTGCTGAGGTTTATGTTTCGTGACCCCTTTGTTGACGCTATTGTACGACGCTATTTTCTTCCTTTCGTTTTGTTGAAGTTCTTGATGCATAAATCTTTGGCATAAAGAAACACTATTATCTCAGACGTTTATTATCAGTCAGTACCTACCTTTTCATTTCGATTATGATTCGAATCAAATATTAATGTGTGAAATATTTGGATCTACGTGCCCTTTCATCGGATATGAAAAAGTCCATTGCAATGAATTTTGGGTCTCATTACTAATTTGAGTAGAAGGAACTTCCTCCATATTTTTATAAACCGTCGGCTTTTCTAATATTAATTTTAGAATTATTATTATTATTATTATTATTATTATTATTATTATTATTATTATTATTATTATTATTTATTATTCAAAGATTTTACTGGTCGGTATGTCAACCACTCAAAGGTATGATGACCAGATGTGAGATTGCTGTATTGAAGATTCAGGTGGCTTCTAACAATATTGTATTCACTTAATAGATCTGCCTTCTGTATATTGTATATACTCCTGGTATCCAAGTGAAGGCACTAGTGCTCGAAGTATCATTTTCCGGATAACTCCTGTGGCAAATATTATTATTGGCGACGTCGACAATTGCTAATGTTAGAAAATTGCAAGAAAATATGAGCTGTTTTAGCATCACTAATTTTATCGAAGTCATGTTTCACTGCTTAGAGCAGTGTCAGTCGCACAGGCGTACGAGTACGCAAAAACCTCCGGACGAGTTGTCACTTTTGATTCTTTAATATGACACCAAATCTGGTCGGGCTTAGCTTGTGACGCCCGTAAAGGTGGCAAAAACATTATCATTTTTAAACAGAAATGTCTCAACACACTTTTTGATATTTCGAACCGTTTCTGAGTTCGGGTACACTGAATATGTGAAGTAAAAAGTTGCTCTGTATGTATAAAAATTGTATTTTGAAGCAAATTTTAGAAAAGTACCTTGTGATTCAATATCAGATTTTGATGCAATTTTGTATGCCGAGTCCCACATATCTCAAAGTCTTCTTAAACGGAACAATCAGACATCGCAATAATTTTGATAAAATGCTAAGCCCTGCAACTGAGCTTGCTAAATCGTGCAATGTGGATGCATATTCCCCCCCCCCCCACACACACACACACCTATATGCAGGAGAAAAAAGAAAACTAGGTTCGGTTATGAACATGACGCTGACAGTACAAAGGATAATTTCCGCATACCGAATGAACTGCATTTCCGAATAGATGACTATTATTGACACTAGTTTCATCTGGAAAGGTTTCAATTGCTTAAAGAGGAAACTGATGCGTTTAATGTTATATACGCCTTCAACAAACTAGCAGAAATTAATTAATCTGACCTATTAAACTGATGGTGCTTCAGAATGGCGCAGACTTTCCCGTATTAGTTTTCTATTTCCTTTGCTCTCAGCTAGCTATACGAACTTGTCATATCTCTTGCCAGCTGCCATTTATCGCCACCAAACTACTTTTTTTCACATTTTATTAATTTTTCAGATTCCTAATAATATAACTAAAATATTAATTTATGAATATTAAAGAACAGTAAAACCTCGTACTAAATTACAATTTTCTTTGAAAAATTTGCAGCTATAAGAAAATGGCGCTTAAGCGCTGCTGTAAATTCGAAAATTTTCATTTGAAGTCATATGAAGCACTTTAACTCACAAATATAATACTGCTTAAAATTCCTGGAAATGTAGATAATAACAGCGTTAGAAATAGATCAAAAACTACATTTGGGTAATTTTGAAAAAAAAAATCCCGAGATGAACGTCATATTTAAGAGTGCAATTAGCACTATCCGTTCGAAATGTTTGAAGAAAAAATTTGGAACCGTTTTTGAGAAAATGGCGTTTGAGCGTTTCTGAAAATGTTGAATTCTGAGCTCGTTTTCACAGAAAATGGGTGAGTTTTCGAGAAATTTGATATAACACTATGAACAAATTGCCTCTAATATAAATATTAACGGCGTGAGAGACAAGTCAAAAGATTACATTTTTGTAATTTTTATAAAAACAAAACAATGGAGTAATATAGCGTTTATTTAATCTTATAGAGTACATTTAGGACTATCCCTACCAAATATTTTAAGAAAAGATTACGCCGTTTTTGAGCAAATCTTGTTTTTGTTATTTTTTTAATTGCACATATTGCTCCAAATATTGCGCGAAAACTACTAAAATTTTCAAAAACATGTTCTTGACCTTAATGAAAGAACTCACAATGGAGAACAAATTTGTTTGAAGGAAAAACCTCTATACTGAATTTTGTAGTTGTAGGAAGACGCCCAAAAAATTTTGTAATTTCGAAAATTCAGTGTTAAACCTGAAAATCGGACCTATGCCACCTTACTTTTATAAGTTTATTTTACTCTATTCTTACAAGAAATGGAAAGAAAACATTTGGACAGTTTTTGAGAAAATTTTGAAGATGTCAGGTGGGCTTCTTGTAAAGTACCTCCAAATTTTAAAGAATGTTTTTCAAAATCTCAAAGCTTTGACTCGAGTAAGGTGGACAGGGGTTTCTGGTTGTGACCCTCCGTCCCCCGCTCCTTAGCTCCCGCCGCTTCTCCGGGCAGGCGTCCGCGAAGGGAACGGAGCTCCGATGTCATTTCTCCGCCAGTTGGCAAACGCTCGTTTATGCGCTTGTGGTGTTCACAAACGGACGGTCAGAAAGACGAATGTTTAAAAAAACACTTTTTCGGTATCAAGAGGGCCTAAAACGTGTATTTCCGCTGAAATCTCGAAATCGATTTTCCGCAGCATTACATAACTTACCCTATACTCCGTATATACGTACGTGTTGGGAAAGTAAAAATTGCATCGATCTATAATTTAAACTGACCGATGAAACTTATACATATAGTCCAAAAGATATAAAAGCAATACAATTTGCAGATTAACTAAATACAATCACGACATTTCTCGAATCGAAATCCTCACCAATTGAAATATTAGAATAAGTAATAAACAAATCGGATCATTCCCTAATATCACCGTGATATGATATGATATTTTATTTTATTTTATTATTTTATTTTATTATTTTATTTTATTATTTTATTTTATTATTTTATTTTATTA